TCTCTATCTTTTTATCTTTATCCCTCCCCTCACTCACTTTCTCTTTCTATACCCCCCTCTCTCTATCTTAGTGCACTTACCTATCCATCTATCTACCTTTCCATCTCAATCACTCATTTTCCATCCGTATCTGTCTATATACAACCACATACCCTCTGGCGCTCCAACAGAGAGTTAAAAGAGAGAGTATGCGTATCTTTGCCCTTAAAACTAAGGGATTGCTTTCGGACTGATTTCCTCTTGCATTGGCCAAGAGCAATAACAACCGCAGTTTAAGAGCAAGGCAGACCGTGAGCCTCAAAAGAGCAGCGGAGGCTAACTGCCTCGCTATTCACTAATGTAACAAAGAGCTGGAGGAAACTGCATGCGGGTAGGAGCATGAGTGGGAGAAGAGGTGCGTGGAGAAAATGGAAATGATGATGATGATACGAAAAATGGTGATGATAATGAGTATGATGATAGTGATAATAATGATAATGGCAATAATGATAATGATAGTAACAATGACAATGATAATAATGATAGTAACAATGATAATGATAGTAATTCTGATTATAGAATTGATAATGATAATATTGATTATGATAATGATAGTAACAATAATCATAACAACAATGATAAAATTGATAATGATAACGATAACCACAACAAAGCAACAATATAATGAAGATAACAGTTAACAGAAGAACATTCAACAAGCACACAAAAATCGTTTGTGATTTCATATTTTCTGTATGAGCATGAAAATAATGATTTTATACTTGTATGAGGAATTAATTGTGCCTCGACATCATAATCATATCAAATAGGAAATCATCTAGGCTTTGCTTCTTTTAAGTCCATTCGCTTAAGTGGGAAAAACTTTTATATAAAATGGAATTATATTTCAGTCGAATGATAGGAAATTAAGTAGACGAGTAACAACGTGTCAAGATTTAATTTCCTGTTTTTCATGAGGATTGTGATGATAAGGATGATGGGAATCATGATGATGATGGTAATGATGATGATAATGATAATGATAAAGATGGTGATGATGATGATGAAAATGATGATGATGATGAAGATGATGCTGATGATACTGATGATAATGATGATGATGTGATAATAACAGTAATAGTAATAATGATGGCTATGGTGATAGTAATAATAAAAATGATCATAATAAGAATGGTAATGACGATAACAGTGATGATAGTAACAAGATTGATAGTAATAATGATGATAACAATAATAGTAATAATAGTAATGACAATGATATCAATAATAAAATCATGATAATAATGACAGTAATGACGATGACAATGATATAAATAATACTGATAATAATAATTATAGTGGCAATGATAATAGTGATGATAATGCTAACAATATCCATGAAAATAGTAATAATGATAATAAGTATACTACTAATGATAATGATGATTAATAATAGTAATAATGTTAACAGGAAAAATAAAGATGATAATAATTCTAATAATATTAATAATAATGATAATGATAATTGTGATAGTAATACTGATAATGATAATTCTAATGATAATGCTAATAACGATAATAATAATTATAATAATTGTAAAAGTAATAATGATGATAGTTATAATAATGATAGCAACAATAATAATGATAGTAATAACAACAACAATGATAATAATAGTAATGATCATATTGATAATGATATCAATAGCAACAATAATGATAATGGTAATAAAGATAGTGATGATGATCTGATGTGATATGATAAAATAATAATAATAATAAATGAATGACCAAATAATGATAATGATGATAATGGCAAATAAGAATAACGATGATATAATGATTAATAATAATTGTATGATAATGAAAGATACAACTTAATACAATAATAGAAATAATAATGATGAAGATGAAAAACAATTATTGATATATAATAATATTAGTGAAATAATAATAATAATAATGATAATAATAAAAGTGATAATGAAATAATATTAATGAGGATAATAATAATGAAAATAACAACAATAGTAATGATAATCATAACAACAGTAATAATAAAAACTAAACAAAACAAGACCGATAAGGATGATAATGAAATGATGATGATAATAATCATTGATGTATTTACAATTATTATAATAGTTATAACAATGATGGTTATGATGATAATGATGGTGATATTAATGATCATAAGATTAATCGTAATGACAGTAATACCATTAAATATAATGATATATATGATAATAACAGTTGCAAGAATAACAATAACAACAAAAAGGATGATAATACCAATAATGATAATAACAAAATTGAAAATAAGGATTATAATGATTATCAAAAAATAATGATAAAAATGATGATGGCAATAGTGGTAAAAGTCATGATAATAATAATAATAAAAATAAGAATAACAATACCAATTATAGTAGTAATGGTAACAACAACAATAATAATATTGAAAATAATAATAATAATGATGAATATAACGATAACAACGACAACAACAAGGCATTAACAG